CTCGCGCAGGAGGTGGAGCTGGGCTGTGACAAGCACGCAGTGATAAGATGCCCAGAGCGAAGGGCCGGCCTCCAGCAGGACCAGCAAGGTCATCTCCAGCACCCGCCGGACACCAGGCCGGCCCATGGCTCTGGCCCAGGGTAGCTGTGGGGCTTCCTGTGAGAGAAGCCAGTTTCCATGCAGAATTCAGGTTTATCAAAGATGGATTAAAGATAGGCCCAAAATATGCTGGTGCCTTTTTCTCTTTTCTGAGATAGTTTAAAAAAAAAACAACACGCCGGAGGAAACCACAGGCCTTGCCGCCTTGGTAGTCTGTGCCAGCGTCCAGCATAAGCGAGACTCAGAAGACGTCCAGGCTGCTAGCCATTCTCCTGGCCTGGTGTCTTCTTGATGCTTAGAGAATTCCATCTCTTAAAAGCGTGTGGGAGGAAACGCCTCTGCTTAGCCAGAGCCCTGGGCCCAGCAGCTTCCAGCAGAGCGGCCGAGGCTCCTGGAAGCTTAGGCCAGGCTGCGTGCCTGGTCTGACCATCTTGACACGTTGGTTGGGCTTGTTATACCCCTTTCTAGGGAGATGTGAGGTAGCTCCCCAAAATCTGTAACACAAAGGCATCTATAAGATTGGACCTTAAAAGGGGAAAAACTGATGTGCCAGCCTTGAAGGATAGTGCCAGAGAAGGAAGTGGGGGCTTCTAGCACCCTCCTCGTCTGAGAAGCAGAGGCACACGTGTGCCTCGGGAAGGCGTGTCCTGGTTTAAGGCCAAGAGCAAGTCTCCTGTGGGCCTTGTGCTTAGGACACGGAATGACAAGAGGCGTGTCTCCCACCACCCAGCAGCCCCTGTACCCCAGCAGACGTGAAGCAAGCTGCCCCTGACAGTTGGCTCCTGACCACACCCTCTGTCCAGCTTTTGCCCCAGGCCTGGCCTCCTGTTCTGGAAGGGACAGCGGTGCTGATGAGCCGTTGCGCACAGTGCTTTCTCCTCCTGTCATAGCTCAGTTCCTCAGAAGCAGAGCCTGAGACGGGGATTCTGGTCCAGGGGACTGTCTGGGGCGGCTCTCAGAGGACCTCAGAGTGGGTAAGGGAGGTGGACAGGACAGGGAAAAAGCCCTGACCCCACGGGGAGCTCTGCGGTGTGATGAGGACTTGGGCTCTGGTCCCCTCTGCGGCCTGGGGCTGCTCTAGACCCCTTACTAGTCCTGGCCATGGGGTGCCCCCTATCCTCCCCTCACTTTGTCTCTGTCTCCAGGGCCCAGCCAGGGTCCTCCCACCCAGGAGGACGGTGCAGGAGCAAATCTCTGCACAGACAGACTGTGCAGCAGAGGGGTCATCATCGCTCCTGTCTGGGAGCCCCAGGGAGACTGGGTGGGGTGGGCTGGGCTGGGCTGGTAGGTGCTGCCTACAGCGAGGTCTGGACGGTCTGGAGAAAACTACCTGAGTTTCAGGGACTCCATTTCTGAGTCTCCCCAGACTCCAGGACTGGGGTGCTGACCAGTGTCTAGCCACTAGCCTGGGGCCACATGGACGGTTCTGTCCGAGCTTCATTACTCGGGCAGGGCTGGGCTCGCATAGGCAGCCCATTCCTGGGCCAGGGCTGGGCCTCCAGAGGACAGTGTTTGAGGCAAGGGACAGTTTTTCCTGGAGCAGCCACTTCACCTAGAACGATGTATTGACATGCCGCTTTGAACTTAAAGCAGCTTTGCAGCTTTCCCAGACACTGTTGAGGACACGCCGGCCTCCAGGCCCCCAGCAGGCCCATGAAGTATTGCTTGTGTGGTGAGAGCTGGGCTTTTGGGAAGTGGGAGCTGCTGGGGAGGCTGGGCATGGCCCTGCCCCAGGGCGTGGTGGGCACAGGGCAGCTGAAGGGCCTGGGCATGGGCCAGCCCCTGGATGTCCAAGTGGGGCGGGCTCACTGGAGCTGGAGTCTGGGCAGGGCACACACTGCCCCACTGTGGCCTTCGCGTCCCTCCGTGGCAGGTGGGGTGTGCCACCACCTGGGGCATTCAGCGAGCGGGTTTTGGTTTTCACTGTGGTTGAGTTTTGTGTCAACAGAATTTTCAAGGTGACACTGGCTTTGCAGCCAAGGAGCAGGTGCTTTGAGGACTATTGGTGGTGGGTTCGGCAGCATCCTGGGGTTAGCTTGTGGTGGCATTCACCAGCCAAACCTTGCAGCTTCTCACCCTGCTGCAAAGCAAGGACCCAGTTATTCCAGACAGCCAGAGCGGGGGGCGGCCCTGGGTGCCCTTGACCCACCCCTCATTCAGCAAGTGGGCAAAGGCCCAGAGGATGGAGGGTCAGATGTTGGGTCTTTTCTGAAGCCATGATGCCCATGCAGCACAGAGCCTGGATCCGTAACAGCTTGTCTGACCTCAGCTCTCTCTGGGGCACACTTGAGGCCAAAGCTACATCTCTGAAAAGTCCCAGCAAACTGGGGTCTCCAGCACCTTCCATCAGTGTGGCTAAGGTTGGACGTGACGAGTGCCCAGACACACGTCAGTCTCCCTGCCTGTAGGTAGTTTAAAGCACAAGGTCAGGCAGGACGATCGGAGGAGCACAGTGGCAGACCCAGGAGTGTTTCCTGTTCAGGTTTATGCCCTGACGGTGCTTCCCACCGTCCCCATGTTATAGCTCCCAGGAGACGGCGACACCAGTTCAGGTGTTCAGCGTGCTGGGCAAACAGACGTGGGGCCCCGTCCCCCAGGCTGAGGGCATCAGTGTCTTGGCATCACCTGTGACCCAGTTGTAGCCATCGGACTTACATGGGATGTTGTTATTTGTCACAGGAGTTTTCTTACCCACTGCCACTTCCATGGGGCAAACATCCACTTCCGGGAGGGGCAGATCTGGTTCCCTGGGCCCTGGAGTTCCATGGTACCTCCTGGCCTTGAACCTGGACCACCTGGGCCGGCGAGAACGGGAACACAGGCTGAGGCCAGGCTTTGACGCCCCTGCCTGGGCTGGGCCATCTTCTCTCTTTCTCGTGCCCTGGCACAGGTCTCGGCCAGGCCAGACCGTGGCTGGGAGGCAGGAGGGACCTCAGAGATCCTCCAGCGCAGGCGCGTGGGGCTTCCGCCCGCCCAGCGTCAGGCTTGTGCTCTGACCTGGGAAAGTCCGTGTTGCATGCGGAGCGTCTGCCGCCCTCTACTCTGTCAGGGGAGGGGACGTCCTCTGTGCACACTGGGGCAGGATTCGTCGAACCCCATGGCGGCCCAGGTCTGGGGACTGTGGGGTCCTCGGCCTGTCGCCTGTCGCCTGGGCTCCTGCCTCGGCCTGAGCCGGCATCTTGGGTCTCATCAGTGGCCCAGCCCTTCTCTCCTCAGTCCCCAGAGCCCTTTCCCACAGTCCCCCCGCCCACCCCCACCACCCCAGGCTTCACCTTTCTCAGTGAATCAAAAGATTCCAAGAAAAGCAAAGCCATCAGAACAGTTTCCTCCGTGGAACATTCTGGAACAATGAGCGCGTGCACAACAGGCACAGCCGCTTTCCCCCAGAGAGAGCGCCTTTTATTTTCTGTTTGCAGAGCCCGTTTCTGCAGCTTGTTCCTCATGACAGCTGGTGGTCATCTTTATTTCAAAGTGACACATAAACACTCGCCTGTGAAACGACCAGGGCCCTTGGGACAGGCCTGTGACCTTGGCCTGCGCAGGCTCATGGAGCTCCAGGTCCCTGGCCTCACTGCCCCTGCCTTCCACAGGACCGCCCTGCGACTGGTCCTGTTGGGCATCTCCAGGGCTGGGCCATGGGTGCCTCTTGCTGTCACAGCCCCATCCCAGTTTCATGCTCTGCTGTGAACGCAGGTGTTTAACCGAACTCACTTGTGCACGGTGCTGGGCCTGCCTCCTTCTGTGAGCAGGTGGCTCGAGCACCCTTGGGTCGTGTTCAAGTTGCACCCGCTGCTCAGGCAGGCCCCAGGCCAACCCTACACAGAGGCAGCACATGATGGGGGATGGGGGGCTCTTTTATTTTTAAACTCGGAGAGCAAAGGTAACGAGCTTTACATGCAGGACCCGCTACATAAGTCATGAGCCCCGTGCAAAACAAAATGCAGGGCCTTTTAAAAAAATTTCAAGGTGGCAACAGCAGAGCATTACACCAAACACAGGGCCCTTCGACGCATACTCGTGACTAGCCCTGCAGGCGGGGAGCTCTTGACAGCCACACACTCTCACTGGGGTCTCGGGGCCCACTGCCGGCTCTTACGGCTGAGGCCTAGGGAGGCTGAGGGCGCTGCCCAAGGCCCTCGGCTGGTGAGCCCGGCCACCCCAGCAGCCCTGCAGCATCCACCAGTGCCCGTTGAGGACCTTTCTCCCCCCGCCCAGAGTCTCAGCATCTCCAGGTGGGGCCCTGGGTAACCTGGGTAACCCAGCTCCCTGAGTGGATGCCCTGAGCAGCGGGTCCGACTCCAGCTGAGCCGTCGCGGCCCCGCCCCCCTCCCGGTCATGGCGAGTGTTCCCATTCGCTCTGGCAGCGTCCTCTGAATGGCTCGAGAACCTTCCTCGTCTGAAAACGCAGGCTTTTAGAGCTCGTGGGGGGCTGAGGTTACTCCCCGCTCCTCAGCTGAGCCGTGTGTGGGGAATAGTGGGCAGCGGAATTTCTCCATGCCCCCTCGTTGTTTTCTCGACATAAAGCCCTAGAAGTGCGACTGCCTGAAGGACTCGGCCCTCGATCACCGGGTCACCTGCTCACCCTGCAGGAGGGTGGGGGGAGGGCTCTGAGCCCTTCCAACGGCCCCGAACAGGCTACTACCAAGCCGTGCTCTTTGCCACTCAATAGGCAGATGACCAGATTTTGCATTTCTTTATTAACATGGTCTTGGTTGGCCAAGGGTGTTTACTCACGAGTGGCCCATGGTCCCTTTCCTTGCCTGGACAGTGGAGAGTCCAGAATGTGGGTGGTCGTCTACCGCCAGGCAGACCCCGCGTTCGGCCTGGGTCGGGGGTCATGTGGTCCTTGGGTCCTGGGGGGGGGCGTGACCTCACTGACGTGCGTGTCTGTCTCCCCACAGAACTGTCAGACCTTCAGCAGCCTCAGCTGCCTGAGCGCGGGGATGGAGGACTGCGGCCCCCACAGCCCCTTCGCCCTCCACGTCAGCAGCACCAGGTCCTGGACCGCCCTGCTCTCGGCCTCCGGCCCCGGGGGCAGGACCCCCGCCGGGACCCCAGTCCCTGAGCCTCCGCCCCCGTCCTTCGATGAGCACCTGGCCTACAAGGAGGAGCTGTACAGCGAGGAGTCGGACGGGTGCACCCTGGACGAGGGCTGCGGCAGGGGTGGGGAGCCGGCCTCAGCCTGGCGGGACCGCGGGGTTGCTGGGGGCAGCCCCTGCTCCCTGGACGGTGAGCTGGACATTGAACAGATAGAGAACAACTGAGGTGGGCCGCGGGCCCCTGGTCGGGAGTGGGGGCACATCAAGTTCGACGGCTTCCCTCCAGGCACGAGGTGGTCACCAACGCGGGGAGCCCCACTCCTGGGCCTGACCTCCCTGGAAGGCGCCAGGTGCCAGGGAGTGAGCCCACCCACGCCCCGGGAGGCCGGCCCCCCGCAGGGGCCCGTGCCACATGGCGCGACGCCTCGGCCTCTCGCCGGCATGGCAGCCACGGCCCCCGAGCTGCTGCGGCCGCCAGAGCAGCTGCTCGGGTGGGTCTCCCCCCCCTCCTCGTGGGACCTCGGCCGCGAGCTCCCCGGCCGCCCCTGCTGGGCAGCCCCGTGGCCCTGCTCCGCATGCTCAGGCCCATCTGGTGGTGTCAAGGCCCTTCTTGGCCTCCTGCTCAGGTTCAGTTTGGGGGGTCGGCCCCACAGTTCCTTTCACTCAGTTTTATTCCGTGCCTTTGCTCCCAGGTCTCCCCGCTTCGGGCTTGGGCAGGGTCGGGAGGTGCTGGAGTGACCTCCTGTAGTAACACCCCAACTGTCTGGCCTTAATCCCAAGTGTGAGCGGCAGGGGCCCAGGAGTGCTGGGGTGGCCCTCCACGTCTGGGGCTCAAGGAACAACTTGGGGTACCTGTTAGAGGCCATCTGCATTAAGTAGACTTTTGGTTCTGTTGCCTGGATAGACCCACTTTCCTCTCCCGTGTGTGGGGAGCCTGACCCTGTGGCTCTCTGCCACTCTGGGGCCACCTTGGCAGGGTTGGCAGATGGCGGCCATTCTCCGTGGCTCACCTGTCACTGAGTGAGGCGCTTAGTCGATTCAGGAGGGTGGAGAGACGTCATCATAAAAAGGCGACCTCTTAAAAGGAGGTAGGAGCTATGAGCAGGTCTGCAAACCCAGGTCCTGTGCACCTGTCAGGGGTGGGGGATGTCTGCCGGCCGTTCTGGGAGGACCTAGGTCGAGAGCCTTCAAGACCCCTGCAGTATTCCAGGCACGTTCTCACTGGCGGTGGGGACTGTGCGCTTCCGTCGAGGTGGCCCCTCTGCCTCGAGACAGGCCTGTGTGCGGTCAGCTGGGCGAGCAGAGCTTTTCCAGGGCTGCCTTCTTGCTCCGGCCTCACCGGGAAGCACACTGCACCCTCCCCAGCGCCTCGTGCCCCTGGTAGACGCCCCGGTGGTGGTGACGTGGAGCCCTGCCCCGCGGTTGTGCACTCCGGTGGCTCCTGTCCGGCTTGGTTGCAGACGTGTCCCGTGGGTGCTGCTCTCTTGGAATATGGGTTTTTCAGCAAACTCGGCATCTCACACAGACGGTAGCAGCTGGGTCGGCTCATGAGCGAGTGGCCCCTTCTCCCAAAAGCTGAAAGTCCACCGCGGCGCTCTCCGGAGTTGCCGGACACGTGGCGGCGGCACGGTCATAGCCACTCTGCGTCTGCTCTGCTCTTAAGAGCAAATGCCTCACTTTTCCCCTAAAGAGAGACCCAATTTGGGAAGCTTTACTTAAACCTTCACTTTTTCATATCAAAAGTGTGGTGGCTCAGGTTCTGATTTATAGGTGTCTTTTCCTACAGATCAGCCATAAGATATAAGATGCTTGCAGAAAACCCCGAGTCAGTGGCCTCGGAGATGGTGTCGAAGCCGGCGATTGGAGAGATGATGGGTGCGTGGGCACCGGGCAGGGCCTGGGGCGTGAACCGGCTTCGCCTCAGTGGCTCCCACCAGGCAAACGTCCCCTGGAGGGCCAAACCAGAGAGCTAGGGGCTCTGGGTAGACGGTCTCGCCCAGTCTGTACTTGCGGGCTGTGGTGGCCACGTCTTCTTAGAGGTAATTCAGAGGGGGCTGGGGCAGGTGTTGGGTGACAGTGGCAGTGTATGAATTCGGAGAGCACACGCCGGTGCTTCGTGTCCTCACAAAGCCTGAGGCGGGAGGTGGCACCTGGCCCACACCAGGAGTGGCCACAGAGGGACCATGGCCTCCACAGCGGTCCTTCCTATGGAAGCAGGCAGGGCCCCACCCCTGGTCCACACTGCAGTGAGGGGTGGGCTTTGGGCCAGGACGGTGCCTTTCCTTGGTGCCAGGAGGGGAAGCACATGAGGTGGGTGTCACAGGTGACCTGTCTTTGGACTTGTGGGCCACCTCCCCCCAAGCTGGTCCTATTGACCCGCAAGCCCAGCCTCAGGGCACTTGCGGGCAGAAGGGATCCTAGCCCAAGGCAGGGTTCGGCCCTTTCCAGCCTCCTTAGGCCCCTCGTGGCTGACCTGGCCCCACCGAAGCTCCTGGCCCAAGCCCGCAGCAGCAGTGACGAGGGGAGAGATGGCGGGTGGCCCTTCTGCTCAGAGGGAGAAAGCCTGCAGGTGGTTCGTCTTGCCCGGAGAGAGAAGACTATATCTAGAAGGTGCTGCCACGTGGCTCAGAGGCACATTCTGTGCTACCCGGCTGGCACCAGCCGTCTTAGAACTCATGGAGGCTCACCCGGGAGGTTCCCTCTGATCCCATGTGACTGTCCCCAGGGGCCATAGGTGGGCTGGCAGGCACACCCTGCAGGAGCCTCACTTCTGTCGGGGCCCTGCCTTGTGGCCGATGCCCATGAACTCCTGCCTCTGAGTGGAGACGGAGGAAGTTCAGAGCCAGGAGGGAGGGCTGTGCCAGACCACCCGCCCAGCTGCCCGCTGGGGCCCTGAGGGGCAAGAGCAGGGTCTGGCTCTTGGGGAGCTGGGTGGGGAGGACAGGCTTCCTGGCATATGGCACCCCCTCAGTCCGAAGGCGCACCCCCTAAACTGCTGGGCTGACAGGCTGCCATCTGCCGTGGAGGCCGGGCTGGGCTCAGGCCCGCAGCCTCACCGTCCACGTTGCTGCAAACCCTCTTGCCTTACTCGCGGTGGGGGCCCGGGCCGGCCCAGGGCCCCAGGCGCCACGGGGAGCTCGTTCTGACCGTACATATGGATATCCATTCTCAGAAAGCCTTACTTTTCAACAGAATTTTTGTAACAGGAAAGTTTTGTGAATTTGTATGCTGAAAGAAAATTTTAATAAAGGAAAAGCTCACATTATAAAAAAACACAGAGAGCCACGTTTGGACCCAAACGTCCAAACGGGTCTCCTCGTGTGGGTGGCCTGGTTTCCCACACGCCGGCCGATGCTGCCCGAGGGCACCCAGGGCACGGCCTGAGCAGCGTCCATGGCATTGAGTGCCCTGCGTGCCCTGCTGTGGCTCAGGCTTGGCATCTCCGTGTCTGCCCGTGAGGTTAAGGTCGTGCACTGTGACCTCAGGACCGGTCACCTAAGTGATGACCGCTTCGGGCTCTGCGCCTGGGGCGTGAGCAGCCCCCAGACACGGGCTCGGCAGCCCGGTCCGGGCCTGCTGGTGCCGCCCAGTCACTCTGCTCCGTGTCGGCAGTGGGGCCGCCTCTTGCCAGAGCCACACGGTCAAACACCACCCCCGCCTCGCCCACCGGTGCCAGTCACAGAAAACCTTGCCTCTTTAAAGAGAAAAGGAGAGAAAAAGATTTTTTAAAACTCCCAGACACAGGAGAGATCTTGTAGCCTAGGTAGGGTAGTCTGACCTTCTAGCATAGTCTCTCTGGCAAATAAACCGTGTTTTCAGTGCGTGGGGCTGGGGGCCCTGTGACACGCGGGGGCTGCTCCTGGGCTGTAGTGTGCTTTCCACAACGGACATGCTTCAGGAAGGGTGGCAGCCAGCGCGTGTGGGGTTGGGCCGGGCCCCCGTCCGGGGAGCAACCTCTGTGCCGAGGGCGCCAGGCCTGCATCGCCCACCGCGCCCCTCACAGGCCCCACACAGGCCACGACTTGCACTAGGAGCCGCTCTAGTCTCAGGAATTTGCTTGTTACTTTTACTGTGTAAATAAAGCTTCCTGGTTCAATATCCAACCACCAGAGCTGGCTGTCTGGTTTCTGTCGGGTGCAGAGTCCGCGGGGCCACCCTCCGTCTGTGGCAGGAGCAGGGCCTGGGCCTTTCTGTCCCCTCCAAGCCGCAGGGTCAGGTGTGTAAAAGGGAGGTAGCAGACACCTCAGAGTCGTCAAGAGGCTCAGATGCAGGGGGTGAGTGACCATGGGGCGGGGGGATGGCGATGGCTGGGCCTCAGCTGTGGTCACAGGGAGATCCCCTTCTAGAGGCACTCTGGGCAGCCCAGTGCCCAGGGCAGTGTGGGGTACGGGGTGCAGGGGCCCAGCTCCTCACTGCAGCCGAGAGCCAGGGACCTTAGGACAGCAGGCAAGGATACCCCTTCTGTAACCCAGGACAGCAGATGGGGACATCCCCTCTGTAACCCAGGACAGCAAGCAGGGACACTCCTCTGTGATGTCCGAGTCCAGAGCTGTGGAGAAACTTCTGAGTCCCAGTGAACACGTCAGCTCGACCCTCAGCACCACCGACAGGCATGGGCACGTGCAGCTTGCTCCGGGCCACACTGCTGCGGACTCCCAGGCCGGCCCGAAGCCCTGCAGGACCCCCCCGCCCACCAGCACAGCCACAGGGTGGCATAGGCTGGGCCCTATGTCCCATGGAAGACAGGGTGGCACCCACTTGCACTGCCTGGGCCTGGGGGACACCGGGACACACAGCTCAGCCCAGCGAGGGCTCAGGGCCCACGGTCCCTGGGCCTGACCCTCCAAATTGGAGACTGCAGCTAACGAAGCTCGGGAGACCAGGATGTGTGCAGCCCTGGCAGGTGTGAAGAGGCCATCGCGCCAGTGCGGCTGGGACTCCAGGTCCCGGGGCTGCCCCTCTGGGGATGAGGCACCAGACCGCTCCTTGGACTCAGCCTGTTTTCTATAGCTCAGGTCTCTTCAAACAAAACGGTCTGTGAACGCCTGGTCCGTGAAACAGGTGAAGCAAAGCTGCTGTGGCCGAAGCTGAGGGTGCGGGGAGCCCCACCCCCTCCCCAGGCAGCCTCATAGCAGCAAGACCCAGGGACCCAGGGACCCAGAAGCACGGTGGTCCCCACGTGTCCCATGGCTGAGGAGAGCACACACGTGGCCCTCGATGGACCCCTAGCCCCCGAAAATCCCTTACCTGCCCCCCTCGGATGAGGTCCCTGGTGGGGCTGCAGCCCGAGGTGAGCAGCATCTGCTCTCCAGCTCAGCCCGCCCAGCGACGGCCACCTGCTTGTCACCCCTGGTGTCTCCCCCAGGGCAGGACAAACTGACTGCCACGCCCTCCTGCCCCTCGAGATCTGCGGGAGCCAGGACGCTGCCCAGGGCACAGGGCACAGCAGACGCGCAGTGCAACGCAGACCGCATTAAAAATGCCGTCTCCACGTGGAAAGGGCCGGAAGGAGCTGCCCCCAGCGGAGCGATTCTGGTTCCTAGACGCGCAGTGCAACGCAGACCGCATTAAAACGCCGTCTCCACGTGGAAAGGGCCAGAAGGAGCTGCCCCCAGCGGAGCGATTCTGGTTCCTTCTTATGCTCTTCTGTGGAATTGCCTATAGTCATACTTACTGCTTTATAATCTAAAAGAAAAATCCAACCTTAAGAAAACTCGAGATAATACCAGGTGCCCAATGTTTATTATCTCAACTGGGTCAATTCTGAGGGAAAACCAGAGCCGTGGATAGTAACATTGGGGGTGTAGAACCATGAGCACCCCCTCCCCCCACACACACACCCACTTCTGTGCCCTTCCCACCTGGCGACCCCCTGACCCTCCCCTGAGGGGTGGGACCAGAGGGAAGGAACGTGGCCCTCCTGGGCCTTCGAAGGACCTCGGTGACCTGATCTGAAGGAGGAGCGCTGAGCCGGTGGGCCCGGCGGTGGGCAGCCACCTGGCGTGAGGGCCAGACTCGGCCTCGCTCCCACCCTGCGTCATCCCTGAGCTCCAGCCCCGCTGTGGCCAGTGGCTCTGTCCAGCTCCGGCCCGAGAACTCTGCCCGCCCTGTTTGGGGTCGTGGAAGGAGGGTCTGCAGAGGGCCGAGCCAGGCAGCTGGAAGGCCACGGGTGAGGGAGGTCCTCCTGCTTCTGGGCAGCACGGTCACCTCGGTAGCAGCAAGACAGGGGCCACTGACCATCCCCAGCCAAGCGACAGGGCACCCGGTAAGGCCCGGTTCCCCACAGGGCTCAGTGCATGCCTGCTAAGGAAAGGGGTAGCTGAGGCTCAGGGGTTACATGCCCTCCCACACTGAGGCCACCAGAAGCCGCCTCCATGGGATTGTGGAAGGAACTAGAAGGGGCATGGATGCAGGATCAGACCTTGATCCGTGCCTCAGCTCTGCCCTGACCAGCGGTCAGCCCACAGGCGAGTTGCTCGCTCTCCTCGCCTCAGTTTCCTCCTCCGTCAGAAGGGGAGATGCCGGCCACACTGAACCCACAGCTGGGGGAGGAGGCACCGTGTTCTCTTCCCGGACAAAGCAGGGTCTGCATCTGTGTCCCTCTGGCACTGTCCCCCCGACACCCTCGCTGTCCCCACTGTTGGGCAGCAGCTTGCCAGAGGCGACTCCACCTGTCCGTGGAGAGAACACCAGCGTCTGTCCTCCAGTGAGACGCTGCCTGGCTGTGGGCTCCTGCCGGGGACACCAGGCACGGGCAGCCACGGAAAGGGAGGGAGGAAAGGAAGCCACTCAGCTGGGGCAGGTCCCCCCCGTAGTCTCCCCCAGCCCCGTGAGCACAGCCACCATCTGGACCCCTGCAAGCTGTGATGAGGGCGTTTTGCATATTTCCCAGTGAATAGGCCCAACACCCCCCTCCCCTGCAGGCCTGTGACACCGGCCCGGCCGCACTGCATCCTGATGACAAGGCAGCCACCACCAGCCCTCCGGACCCCGGTCTGATGGTGGCTGGCTGGCGCGGAGGCCTGGGGACCACACAGAGCCCAGTGCTCTGCATCGTCAGCCCCTTGTTCAGTGTGAATCCTGTCTTGGAGGGCCCAGGACTTCTTTTATGAGAAGTTGTCTGCCAGGATCGATTTGGGGAGAGACAGAGCAATTCAGGTATCTGTTCAGCTGACTGCCTGAAACCTGAACTGGGCTGAGGGAATTCGGGGAGCATGCGGCTCCCGCCGCCGGCCTCGGGGCTGCTGCGGAGGGAAGGTCGATGTCCGCCCTGTCCACCCTGTCCTCTCAGGGCCTAGGGCGGCTCCCTGTTTCTTGAGGGCCTCGGTTCCCCCATCTGTTAAATGAAGGGTTTGGGGCAGGTTTGGCGCATCAGGGCCTGGCTCTCGGTCGTTCAGCAGTTCAAGCACATGGCAGGACCTGCCCACACCCCCGCCCCGGGGCCTCGGCGGGTAAGGCCTGAGTGGGCTGCAGGTCAGGGCGGTGTGTTTAAATGTTGGTTTCCGCCCGCACGCACTGGGCAGGACGCACCCCAGTCCCTCGAGTTACAGCTCCAGAGAGCGCCCTCCGCGCCTGCGACCTTGATCCCAGAGAGTCACACTCTTGCTTTTCAGCACGTGGTCTTCCAAGTGCCCCTGGGGGATGCCCCAGCTTTTGGCTCCAAAGGTGACTTCTTCTGGGGACAGGAAGGTGTTGGTGTGGGGGGCAGAGTGCTACGTGGGCGCTGACTCCAGGTGGGGGCTAGGGGTGGGACGGGGCGCTGGGCAGTTCCCAAGGGAGCTGGCTCAGCTCGGGGCTGCATGGACTGTGCATGGGAGGCCTGTCTCCTCCAGGCTCCTCACACGACATGAAGCGTGTTTGATGACGAGGCCATGGGAAATGCTCAGAGTCTGGCTAGTAGGGCATCTGTGTGACCAGGGGGGCTCATGGAGAGGGCATGGGTTTGGGACAATCCCAGAGCACCGCTGGCCCTCCTGTCCCACCCTCCTGACTTCACTAGGGCAGGGCGGACTGGGGAGCAGGCCATCGGGGAGGGAGCAAACTCCTCCTGGGAGACTGAGCCACGTGACTGGGGCATGGGGGTGGGGCCAGCAGAGGGAGACAGGAAGGGGCTGGCCAGCTCAGGCCGGGGGCAGGGCAGCCACAGCTATGGCTGGCGCCCTCTTTCCTGCCTGTGGGGGACAGAGGGCAGGACCGTGGTGGTCTGGGCACCGGGGACGGGGTGGCAGAAGCCGGGGGGCCTCCCAGAAGGCCCGTCACTTGTCCGCGTGCTGCAGCAGCAGGTCCACAGCCTCTGCGAGGTTGTCCACGTACCCATCAGCCTTCACCTCCGGATGGCGCTCGTCACTGGGCCTGCAGAGCAGAGCAGCCGTTAGTCAGTCGGTGACCCCATGCTGACTCCTCTGAAGCCGCTGCCTCCCAGCATCTAGCATGGCCAGGTCAGGCAGTCTTTGGTTGACAGCTGTCCCCCTCCCTCCCCGCACCCCAGTCCCAGCCACCCTCACTCAGGACACACACACCTCCCCCCGGACTGCTCCCTCCACCTGGGACCTCCCAAAACCCGTTCCCTGCTCAGAGCTCTGCGGCAGAGTGACCGATGGCCCCTGCTCTGTCCGTGCTGCCAACATAACACCCTTGAGAGCAGGACCATGAGCTTGACTGTGGGCTGAACTCCTTCCTGCCCAAACCCCAGGCAGCCCGCGTGCTAACTGGTCGGTGCCCGGTAAGGCCACTCCTGCCCAACAGAGAAGGGCTCCTGGTAGAGCCGCTTCTGACTGGGATTTGGGGGGCCAGAACCTCCCAGACATTCCCCGAGGTCTAGCTGGAGGCCGAGGACAAGGGCAGTGAGACCACGCAATAAATGCAGACGGTCCACGTGGCACCAAGGGCGCCCCGCACGGAGCTTGGCGGAGGAGGGGCCTTGGGCCATGGGCTGAGGCCTGCAGTTCAGTGGGGCTCCAGGTGACACAGGGAGAGGCAGGGGAGCTCAGGATGGGCTCCCGGGGACATCTGGAGAGTCTGGACAGTAGGAGCAGGCACTGGGACCTTGTCCCCCAGGCCATGAGCAGCCTGGGGTGCTGTGAGCTGGAGAGTCAGGTCCTGGTGACAGGAAGGCCCCTCCCCACGCTCGTGGGCTGGATCTCCCTGGGTGGGGGGCGGGGAGACAGCTGAGGGCCTGCTGCTCCCACCTCCCAAGGTCTGGCCGGAGCTTCCCAGCAGCCAGGCACCCCTGTGGCAGCACCAGACCCGGTCTGGATGGACATGGTTAAAGCTGGTCTGACAGCATCCCAAACGCCAGTGTCTGGTTTCTGCAAAGCACTTCCCCCTAACGTGGCTGTCATGGGCAACGGTGCCTCTCTTAAAGAGTTTTCAGCCCCGTGGCCTGGGGGCCACCTCCCCAGGGGCTGCTGAGGCCCTAAGTGGAGGTGACAGGGACCCTCACCACCACACATTGGAGCAGCACTTCAAGCAGGCATGACTGATGTCAGCGCAGGCATTGTAAGGGGATTATTTATTTCTTGCCGTCACAGACACAAGCAGTCTAGTGGACGTGGGACTTAAGCTTTCCATTCCCCTGCACCCATGCTGAAGTGCGTACTTGTCAATATCGGAAGGTTGTACCTGGCACAGCCACTGTGGAAACCTGCGTGTTGGTACCTACTTGTGGCCTGCCAGTTCCGCTCCTAGGTATGCATACCACCAAAACGCCACACGTTCACCAAAGGACACATCCCGGATGCTCCGAGCAGCCTCCATCATAAAAACAGAAACGCGAAAACTGCGCGCACGCCCACGGGCAGATCGAGGCACGGGCTGGGACGCCGGTGACAATGCACCCACCGCGAACTCCTCTCCACGCTGCAGAGTCCGGCCGACGTCACGCCACCGGTGCCACGACGTGCGAGCAGCCAGACACGGGAACCCAGATCGGACGGCCATTTATACCAGGTTCAGGGATGGGCACAGCCCGTCTCCCCAGAGCAGCGGTCGGAAACCGGTCACCCCTTGGGGGAGCAGTCTGACCCAGGTGCTCAGCACCGTTACCATGACTACTGAGAACTCTGCGAGCTGTCGGGGGTGCCTGTGCCCAGGCCGGGCAGACAGACGGGATCTGTGGATGCACATCAGTGTACGGGGTACAGGGCGGACAGAGTGAGGCGAGGTCAGCCATGGGCACTGGGATGGGAGGGGCTGGCGAGCTGGGGCCAGAACCCTTTGGGGACATCCCAACAGCCTGAAGGAAGCGGCCAGGAGCTGGCTCCAGTGCTGCGGCCTATGTGCGGGAGTCCCAGTGGTCCTGGACGTGCCCTTTGGGCTTCCCTCAGCTTCCCTGGGCCCCGCTCACAGATGTATTGGGGTGCTCCTGTCCCCCGTTATGAGTGGGTTGTCGGGGGGAGCGGGACGGCCTGGCGGGTTTCAGGGTGTGGACCCCGCTGTGTCCCCTCCCAGCATCCCTGTCGGCATCCCAGCTGTTCTCAGCTCTACAGTGAGGTCAGCATTGTATCCACCGCTCAAAGCGAAGCAAAGCTTCTCCCAGCAAACGGCCCCACCCAGGCTATCGACCAAGTCGCCCAGACGCCCCGCCCCTAACACCTTCACGGGACCCTGGGGCCAGGGTCACTACCCAGTCAAACGAACTCAACATCGAGAGGGAAGAAGATGCCTGCCCATAAAAGAAGACGCCGTGCAGTGAGGTTCTGGCCGGCCGCACTCGACACACGGCACCCAGCCGAACGGCGTGCGTGGCTGATTATGTTTAATGACACGTCATTTAAATTCGAGAATCCATTAAAAGAAAGGACTGCATTAGCAGCCGGCCAGTGTTTGCCAACACACAGTGATAATTGTGGACTTTTATGTCTTAATTATGTGATGCTGCCGTGGGCTGCGGCTCTCAGGGGGTGGGGGGCACTCGATCTGGGCTTGCCCGCCCCAAAGGCCCAGAGCTCCGGAAGCAGCTACGCTCGGCCCAATGAACCCCACTCCATGCTGGACAGTGACCTGGGACCCACGGAGCCTCAAAGATGGTACACTAAGGAGGCTGAAGAAAGAAACCCAGCAAAGGCAGGCCCTCGGGCGTGAGCGCAGCGTGGGTGATGGAGAGGGGGCCGAGGGAGCCCACTGGTCCTCCATGTGCGGAAGGAAGGGTGAGGGGAGCCAGCGGGGCCTCGAGACCCGAGATGGGGCAGGGACGTGGGGAGGAGAGACACAAGGACCCGGAGAGACACGTCCAAAGGAAGAGAGAGGAGGGAGGGAGGGCAGGGTGACAGAAACAGAAAGAGACGGAGGCAGGGAGGGAAGAGAAACCGCGTCAGAGAGACAGGCAGAGAGACGGGGAGAAAGCAGAAGCAAAAGAAGGTGGGAGAGAGCGGGGGCCAGAGAGACGCACAGAGGGAGGGGCGCGGAGGGGGAGCGGGACGGACAGAGACACAGAGGGACAGAGGGAAAGAGGCCAGAAAGACAGACGTAGACAGGGACAGACACAGACACAGGAGACAGAGACGGAGAATGCTCCCCCAAATGCACGTAGCGTCTGGGGTGGTGGGACAGACACCAGGCTCCTGGCAGACAGCAGGCAGAACCTGGCCGTGGCCCTGAACGGGGCCAGCGCTGACTCAGTGGCCCTGTTGCAGGCCACGTGTCCCTGATCACCCCTCTGCCCCCACACCCTACACCCCAGGTCACGGCGCGGCCCCTCCCCTGCCCCAGGCCCACGCAGGTGGGCTCCCCGCATGGCATGGCGCCCCCCTGCCCCAGGCCCACGCAGGTGGGCTCCCCGCTCTGCCCCCCATGAGCTGTCTCTTACATCCCTGAGCCCCAGTTTCCTCGCCTGTGAAGCAGCCTGGCTGCCTCGGGGTGCTCTGAGCGTGAAGGGACGTGTGATCGAGAGTGCAAGGTCAGCTTCCTCCCATCATGCCCTCTGCCCTCTGGCCTCCCAGAGGCCAATTCCACATTCATAGTCAGGAGCAGGGCTGGGACAGGAAGAAAAGAGCTCAGGGCCAGAGGGAATTTATGGGGGACCTGAGGGTGTCAAGGAAGCTTCCAGAAAGAGGGACATTAGGCTAGATTCTCACCCTGCCCCTGCTGGCCTCCTCAGGTCTCACCCCAGAGGTGGAGGCAGAGGCAGGTCCCCAGGGCGGCTGTCCCACCGAAGGGCCAGCAGGCTTCTCTCGGCTCTTCTGGGCTCCCGTGGGCAGTGTTCTGGTGTCTCCAGCTGAGCCTGGAGCCTGTGGCTGGGCCCTGCATGCACAGCAGCCTCAAGTGGGTGCCACCAGCCCAGCGAGGCACAGAGCTGTGACACACGTCAGTAGGATCGGGAGGTTGGCCAGGAGTCAGCATGGCTTCTACCCTCCCCCCGCCCCAGCCTCTGCTGAAGTCTGTCCCATCCCCTCTTCCCTCCCCTCCACTGGCTCCCCCTTCCCTCTCCTGCAGCTCCCGCAACCCCACTGTGTAAACTGCTGTGGCTCCCTATTGCTGGTGCCACAGCCTAGTTCCTCAGCTCAGTAGATGAGTCTGCCCCAACTAGATGCCCTCTCTCCACGCCAGCCACCCAGCACGCACGGCCCATTGCCCCCCCCACGGTCACTGCCCTCCCACACCCTGTCCGCACTGCGTCCTGGAATAGCACGGGCACTCGGCCCCGCTCCACCTGCGAACTCCTCCACGTCCTGTAAGACCGTGTGGGCCTAACCACTGTTCCCCTCTCCAGCGCTAAGCTCCACCCCACAGGACAAGTCACTCTCTTTAGAACACACAGCATTTCTCTCCCACCCCCATGCTGCTGGGGCCCTGCTGACCTGGGCCGCTGAGATGGAGGGGCCAGGCTTCCTGCCCTTGCTGGTCACCCACGGAGACCTGGCCCAGAGCGGGCACCCAGGAAGTGTCTGCTGTCAAGTGGATGAATAAAGGCCCCCATCCGGGCAGGGAGCTGCCCGTCGTTAGCTATCCCTTCCCGTCATGCCCGGGAGAGGAGGGAAGGAGGGGGTGGCAGAGGCGAGAATGAGGCCGACCCGTGCGTGGGCCTGGACAGCGTCACAGGGACCGTCTTTGTGGCCAGACTCCGGGCAGAGGGGCCCAGCCAGGCCCATCTCCACACCCGCCTCCCTCTCCCAGGCCCACATGGGCCAGCACCTCCTTCCGGTCACCAGGGGCCGAGGGACACAGGAGCAGCCTCTCCCTGAGGAGTTCTTGAGCGGTCAGTGCCGCCTCCCGAACCGGTCTGCCCCAAGGCAGGGCTGCACCGAGGCTCCCAAAACCAGAGGCCTCAGTGTTGACCGTGCGGGGAGGGGCGCACGTCCTTGTCCCTAATTGTTTTGGAAAGACGGCTGCACACCCAGTGGCTGGCCAAGGGA